ATATCATAAAACAGCATGTGTGTTACTGTTACATGAGAAACTATCTGTTCTGTAAGCCTTCACCTGAAGTACAATAAAATATTAAAAAAAAAAAAAAAAAAAAGAAACGTGTAATATTAGTGAATATTGATTGATTCAGACCTTTTTTTTTTCAGTGCTAATATTCAGTAAACAAAAGTAAAGCAATTTTTTGGCATTAAGAATCTGACTCTGGAGCCAAACTATTTAGTTACTAATCCCAGCCCTACTACTTACCACTGTATTATTCTTTTTAAACCATAGCTGTCTCATCTGTTAAATGAAGGCAATAATAGTATCTACTTAATAGGATTATTCTGAGGATTAAATGAGATAACCCATATAAAGTACTCAGAAAAGGCATGGTACATATTAAGCACTCAGTAAATGTTTATTGTGGTTGTTCTTATTGCCATTAGTTTGTCAGAAAAACATAACAGGTCATTAAGGCTTAAGTATATCTCATATAATGAGGTCACCAAGTTATGAAAATGCTAATTTGGTCGGAATTTAAGTATGTGACTTTCCTTTAAAAGTTCTGAAATCATATCCTGAGATCTTCAGCATAAAAATCAGTTCTTGCTTCTCATCTTACAGTACCCAAAACAATTGGGCTTACCAGTACCCTTCTCTCATTTCCATCCATAAAATAAGTGTGAAGTCACCCGTCACCCCCTAGGTGCTAAATCCTATGAATTCTACCATCTACCATCCCTATCCCACTTGACCTCCCCTGTGCATTAGACACTGTCGACCCCCACCTCTTCCCCTGACTTCCACAATGCCCTGACAGTTCCTTCCCATTTCCTGGGTCCAATGCTTCTTAGTTGCTTTGTGAGCACCTCTTCACTTCCTGCAAATAGGGTTGTTCCCTAGGTCCCTCTCCTTCTCACTCCACACACCTTCCCTGGCTGATTGTATTCTTTCCCAGGATTTCATTTAGCCAATGACTTCGCAGCCATCTTTACTGCCACTGCCTGAGTCCAGGTCCTCATCATTCACAACCTGCCTATGGAGGTTGCCTCTTACGTGGTCCCGTCTGCCATCTTTTCCCCACTTTAAAACTTCTCTTTCACACTGCCACCAGAATGACCTTTGTAGAACACAAATCTGACCTTGTCATCCTCAAGCTAAAATTCTTCAATGATTTCCCTTGCCTTGCTAACCAAACCAAACCAAACCCATTGCCATCGAGTCGATTCCAACTCATAGTGACCCTATATGACAGAGTAGAACTTCCCCATAGTGTTTCCAAGGAGCAGCTGGTAGATTCGAACTGCTGACCTTTTGGTTAGCAGCCAAATGCTTAACCACCACACCACCAGGGCCCCCCTTGCTAGATAAGATCCTAAAATCCTTAAGTTGTCTATCTCTTCTGCGCTTGAATCTAATGTAATAATCCACATTAAGAGGGCACCCTACAAGTTTTTGTTGCTCAGATTACGCCCAGTTCAAACAACAAACACTGTTCTAAATGTTTTCCCTGGACTTCACTTTTTCTTCAAAACATTTTCCTTTAAAAATTCTTGATTGTATTCTTAAAGTCAATTAAAAGATAATCTTAATCTTTTAACTTCAGTAAATAAAAATAACCAGATTTCCTGAACTAAAAATTTTTAGAACAAGTCAACTATATGCAATTCACACTCACACACACACTCACACACGCACACTATACATAAATTAGAGATAGCGATAGATATATAATTAGAGATTTATTTATAGAATGTTGAAATATTCAAGAAAGAATTCAGATTTGTCATGATAGTAAAAGCATATAATACAATGAACACACTGAAGTATACTTAAAATGAGTTATACAAAGGAAACTGGGTAATAAGGAAATTTGATCACTCCATAATTTGACAGCATTGTACATGAGTTTAGAATTTGCATCCGTTAAACTTTTCAGATTTCCCATATTACAGGTCTACTAAAATAAATCCTTGCTCTAACTCAGTGAACCCTTTTGAGAGTCCACATGTGTCAGAGACTTCTGTCAATGTATAGGAACTGACTTCTAAAGAGATTACCAAAGGAAGAGGGAGAGATGGCAGGACCTGCTGTATCAGAAGCCAAAGACCTGAATTCTGTTCTGACCACTTCCTGCTTCTCATAGCTGGGTGAAACTGAACAAATCAATTAGCCTTCCAAGATGTCACTTTCCTCATCTAGAATGAGGGGCTTTAAGTAGATACATCTCTAAGGCCCTTGCCAGCTCTCAAATTTGAATACTTAGATACGGCATACCCACAGAAGAGAAAAGCTGTCTCCAGAACATGCTTTGAGAAGGATCAAGTACACTGTGTCTCAGGTCACAAACAGCTTAAAGACCTCTTGGGTGTCCAGACTTAATGACGATCCCCAATCTACATTCCTGCAAGCCTCCACCTTCAGGTGCTAAACTCTTAACTCCCTCACTCCTTAATCATGCTGGACATTTTCATTACATGAATGTATACATTATATGTACATTCAACATTCATATAACGTAGACTGAGTTGCTCAAGGTTTTAACCAATACAGAATTCTCTTGCTTTCAGGTACAAGTAAAGACACCTCCTGACACCACTGTAGCCTTCCTGTGACACACACCGAACACTTCATAAGAAAAGGGCTGGATGAGTGAATATTGTGTGCCTGTTAGCTTCAGTTTCTTGTCCTATGCTTATAACAGCTGTATGCAGTAAAAGTCAAGGGTAGAGTTGGCTGCATCAGATAATTTTAGATATCTACACCATCATAGTTATAACAGCTGGACTTTTTTTTTTTTACAATGGAGCTTAAATATGTCGGATAGGATTATAAGTGAACTGGATTGACTTCATTGTTTTGTTCCACACTTTGCTTTATGATGAGCTGCAAACCACAGTCTGTGTAGTTAGACTTGAGGCTCGGCAGCATACCCAATAAAATGTAACGAGGGGAAAAAATGTCTGCATTCTACAGTGTATCAACCAAAAAGCCATTCCATCGTTAAGCAACTCTGATGAAATCTGGAGATGTACGTTTCAAACTCCTCTCTTGTAAAATTGCCTTTAGAAAGAAAACCCTTGAGGTATGGCTACTATTGTACTCTTGTCAAATACACATGGGCTCCTGCAAGGAAGATGGAAAAAGAATGCAGTGTGCTTATCTGTGTTATTCAAGCCTAAAAAGAATGCAGTGTGCTTCACATAACTCAAGCCAAGTTATCCAGATTCCCTACGACAGAAGCCCAAAACTCAGATAGAAACTCCAGCAATCCAATTCCAGTTTGCTTTGATCTGAAACCTTGTGTTTGTCCGAAAATGTGGAAGCCTAGGAATGGAGTCAGAAAAATGCAGAAAGATGTGATATCCCGAAAAACAACAGACAATTCACCCAGCCAGCGTGAGTCCAGGAAGTGTGAGATTCCTCCCTCAGATCACCGACCCCACTGCCACCTGAAACTTGAGCTTTCATTGTCACTTACCCTATAACAATACAGGAGATGGCTGTTCCCAAGAAGGCATACGTTAAAATAGATCCTAAGTTTTGAAAAAAGTGTTTCTGGGGAGAGAAAAAAAAAAGTTACAGAGCATCAGCATTTTTCTTAGTGTAACAGGAAATAAAAACTAATGTATGCATTTTCACAGCCCCTCCCTCCCTCACTGCTTAGGCAAATTTTGTTTTTGGAGGCTCAGTTCCTGGCCTTATTGTGCAGATAGAGACCTAACTGATTTACACCGCAAAGGTCAGAGGTTACTCAGAGAAACAGGAAACAGAAATACATCTGGAAGGTGAAAGGGTGGGGATGAGAGAGATGAGAGGCAGGATTGGCTGGATTAGGGAGAGCGGAAACGGACTGGGGCAATTTCCAGGCAGGAAATTAATGGAGGGACGATTAGCGGAGGAAGTGGTTTTCAAGAAGTTTTAACCAAAATGGAAGTTCGTCGGTGTTTCTTAAAACACTGCACTAAAAGATTTCAGTCGCTTTTTGACTTTTATTGGACCTCTGATTTGTATGTCTTCTGAAAGTGATGAACAAGACCTTACAACCTACAACAATTTACTTTGTTTTAATGAATCAGACACAGAATGACACTTAGTGCTGGGGCTGGGAAATGAAGAGGGATGATCTGAATAAACCCAGCCTTCGAAATCTTTCCAAATGCTTACTTTGGAAAACTCCCTTCTAGGGTGTGAAGTAGGATCTGAGTAGCCAGAAGGGACAGAAAGAGGGAGCCAGGAGCACGTAAGAAATGAAGGGCTGCAGTGAGCACACCGCCTGGATGCTGGAGGTGGCTGGTCCCCAGGGAGAGAGCTCCAGGATCTCCTAGGGTGGGAGATGGGCAGGAAAGGGAATCCCCCTAACCTCTGCATCTCAAAAATCATACAGGCCAGGACCTCATCCTGTGGCACAGGGGATGGCGTTACGTAAACTGTTATGTGAATGACTGACTATGAAATAGGCACCTTCCAGGCTGTGTCTCAGTAATGCCGGGCAAACAGAGAGCAACTGCCAAACTGGGCTTTTTTTCAATGAGTATCAAGAGTTTCAAGAATATTAGGAGAGCATTCTTTAGTTTCTACCCAGATGAATAAGCCCAACTTCAATTAACAAGCAAAATCCTTAGTTATAATCATAGAGAATAGCACTGTCCAATAGAAATACAATGTGAGACATATGTCATTTAAAGTTTCTTTCTAGTTGCCACATTAAAATAAGTAAAAAACAAGTTAAATGAATTTTATTAATATGTTTTATTTAACCCAATATCTCCAAAATATTATGATTTCATCATGAAATCAATATAAAACAGTATGGAGATATTTTACATTCTTTTTTTAAAAAAAAAATACTACAGCTTTAAAACCTAATGTGTATTTTACATTGAAAAGCAAATCTTGATTCAGACTAGCCACATTTCAAGGCTCAATAGCCACATGTAGCTAGTGTCCAGTGTATTGGACAGAGTCAGATTTGAATTCATATCACATAATCCAAGATAATGATATGCTTACAAAACAAGGTAGGTCCATAAAATAACTGTTTCATCATTACAAAAAAAAAAAAAAAAAAAAACCCTAAACCCGTTGCTGTCAAGTCGATTTCAAATCATAGCGACTCTGTAGGACAGAGCAGAACTGCCCCATAGGGCTTCCAAGGAGCAGCTGGTGGATTCAGACTGCCGACCTTTTGGTTAGCAGCTGAGCTCTTAACCACTGTGCCACCAGGGCTTCGTTTCTTCATCAGTAATGATAAAATTCTCTACTTAATGATAAAAGAAGAAATTGGTCCCTATATATTTACCTTCTTTAGGCTATATCCTGCATGAAATATAATCGGTGGCAGTAAAACATTGAAGAATATTTCTGGATCAAATGTCATCTGCCAGAAAAGACAAAAGTGTAGTTAGAAAGATGCTCCTTTGGACCATTAAAAAGATGTGTTTTACAAAGACAGCTGTAAAATGCATAGACTTGAAAGTAGTTTAGTGGTTCCCAGGGGCTAAGGAGAAGGAGGAATGGACAGTTATTGCTTAATGGGTACTGAGTTTCTGTTTGGGTGATGAAAAAGTTTTGGGAATAGATACTGGTGATGGTTGTACAACATTATAAATGTAATTAATGCCACTGAATTTTACACTTAAAAATGGTTAAATTGGCAAATTTTATGTTGCACATATTTTACCACAGTAAACTATAGAAAAAGAACAAAAACCACTGCCGTTGAGTTGATTCTAACTCACAGCGACCCTGCAAGATAGAGTAGAACTGCCCCATAGGGTTTCCAAGGATGTAAATCTTTATGGAAGCAGAATGCCACATCTTTCTCCCATGGAGCAGGCTGGGGGGTTCCAACTGCCGACTTCTGGTTAGCAGCCAAGCACTTCACAACTGTGCCACTAGGGCTCTTAGAAGAAGAATAAATAGGAATATTTCCAAAAAAGTGTTATAGTCATTTTTGCTAAGGTTGTATGAGACATATTAACATATTATTAAATTAGTAGAGATGAGACTAGAAAAAAATGCAAATTTAGAAATTCATAAATACAGTATAACTGTAAAGTAATATTTTAAATGTAAAATCTATACTTCCATTTTATAGTTAATAACAAAACTAACACCTCTATGAAATCTCTCTGGGCAAAGAAAATGTTTTCCTTTTATTCTGATTATCTGTTTATTTTTCATATTTTAAACATTTTTATTTATTTTGTTGTTTTCTGGCCACAGTAATCAGTAGTTTTCAATTATTTTGGCTTCTGACCAGCTATATTTAAAGTTTTGCCGAAATAAAGCATTTTTGGAAATTTGGTCTTAGTTATCCCTGTTTTATCTCATTCCAAAGTTAAACATATTTTCCAGACCCCATGACAAAACACATTTGAAAGTGAAAAAATGGATTTTTCTAGTATTTGTTTATTGGCTTTTACTTAAATGTTAAAAGAAACTTGGCCAGAAAACAAGTATGACTTGGTGTGAAGTGAAATGAAATGTAGGAAATTCTTGAATCCAATATCCACTATTTGCTTGGTAATCTAAAAATAAAAACTCTTTTAATCTTTAAAACTTTCCTAGATTCATCCCCTTCTCTTTCTACTTCTCTCTATCCTTTTCTATTTCTCTCTGTGTCACACACGCACACACACACACATATAAGTGCCATTTACTATCTTACCATTTGGCAGTTCAAACCCACCCAGAAGTGCCTCGGAAGAGAGGCCTGGCAATCTGCTTCCGAAAGGCAAACTCCATGGAGCACAGTTCTATTCTGCACACACGGGGTCGACTCAACAGCAGTGAACAACAACGCAGCACCATTTCAGCACCAAGTCCTTCTCACTGTTACCAGTACTCATTAAAATCGTTTAGATGTATAGGTTTCATAATTGCCAATTTCCTTCCCCTTTTATGTCTGAATTCTTACTCATCTCTAAAGCTGGAACTCAAAAGCTACTTCTCTGTCAAACGGGCCTTGACTTCCCCAGTCAAAACCACCATTCTCTCTGTGCTCCTTCAGCGCTCTGGACGCTCCCTGTAGCACACGTTTCATAACTTACTTGGCATGATTATTGCTTGTGTTTGGCTGTTTCCCTCATTAATTCAGGGCCTTATCAAGGATCACAATGATAATTTTGTCAATTCTGCATTGCTCCATCCCTCCCATATCTAGTCCATTGTTCAAAAAATATTTGCTGAATTGAAAAAAAAATTACTTTTGAAAGTCAATTCTATTAAAGTGAATTATGCTTACCCACATCACAGGTAAAGATCATTTAAATAAAGCCTAACAAAATCCACCCTTGGTTCTAGTTTTCACTTGGAGACTATGTGGACACTGTCAGAGTCCCTCTCCCCACTCCCCATACTGGACCCTCAGCTCTGTTCACCTAACTTGCAGGAAGAGGAAGGTGCGGAAGTAGGAGCGGCACTCACTCTGCCTGGTTCCCGCCCACAAACCTAGCCAGGCACCCGTTGATGCCCCAGCTTCTTGGCCCAGGGAAAATTCAGGTCACCTCAGACTGGAGGGTCAGCTATGGCCCCATTTCAACCCTGCAGCCCTCCACTACTCTGTCGACCCTCTCCTGGGCCCTGTGTGGTCTTGCTCTTATGGTCTCTCTTAGCCCACTAGCTCCCCCTTGTCAGTACATCTTGCTTTAAATCCACAAGAAACAGGATGCAATGGACTCAACTCATCACCCCGGGCCTAGTGGTCTCCAGGAACTGGTGGGTCCACAGATTGGGGGACTTTGGGTAGGTGCCAATTCCTGGCCCCATCAGCCACGTGTGGGGGAGTGAGGTCCTAGAGTCCGCACAAAGCCTTTCCTTCTGGAGGTGCTGTGGCTGTGGCAAGATTTCTAAAGGTTAGCCTGCCACATACACCCATATGCACCCACCTCTAGCATTTAACATGAATTTAACATGAATATACAGAAAGAGGGAGAATAAACAGAATAATTTCTTATCGAGTCCTCCTCCGCATCAGGCCAATGACTTCACGCTTTCTTGTGTTGATAATTGTTTCACGTTTGTTACTCTAGTTTCCCCCATTAAAAGATAAAATTCTTTCACTAAGGGCATGCCCATCATACATTTGTTTGTTTCTCCACCTAGTAGCTAGTTCATTGCCAGACAAAGATTTAACATGTTTGGTTGTTTATTAACTGACTGGAAATCAGGCCTGGGAGTCATCATTTTAAGAGTATCGCTTGCTCTTCAAAGCCTTCCCTTGGCTTATCCAAAACCAGGGCTGTGCACGAGGGCCAGGGCACTGCCTATGACCAAACGCCTGAGGAAAGGTGAGGTAGGCCAGCAAGGAGAAAAGAAGAGACGCATTCTGAGCAAGGGCCTGCTCTGTCCAGGAACGCCACTGGGTGCTTTCTCTGTGACATTTCATTTAGTCCCCACAGGAAAAAAGAGAGGTAGGAATGCATCCATTTCATTGACTCAGTCATTAGGCCATTCATCCCAGGTTGTACGCTAGACACTGGGGATCCAATGGTGAATAAGTCCACCTCACACAGGAGAAAAGTGAGGCTCTGAGAGGTTGTGACTTGTCAAGGCTGGGCTGCTATTAATTCATGGAGCTGAGATACAAACCTAGGTGTCTGAGGCTCCAAAGCCTGCCTGCTTCTTTTGCACTCTAGCATGCTGCATCCTGAAAACCAGCAAGAATCTACCTTCCATTCTGCCATTGTGAAGTTCACGCTTATTAGCCTCTTAAGTCTTCCTCTGGCCCATACTTTGCGGTCCTTGAGGGAACTTTCGTGATTAGTGTTGTAAACAAAGTAGGCTGCACACTGTGTGACTTTAAACAGTTTACCTCAGTGTCATTTTCTCTAAAAATGAGTGGAGACTCTCAGTGGAAGAATTCACTGATTCACAAAATAGTCAGAGAAAATGTCTTTTTGCCAGAACCTGTGCTAGACACCAGAGGCAGAGTGGTAAACAAGACAAAGTTCCTACCTGCTGGAGCTTCTCTGCTTGTTGTGAAATGCATTTCCCTCCCAAAATCTCAGAATTGAACTTCTTTGGAAACAGAGTTATTGAAGATGAAATTAGCTAGGATGAGGTCATACTGGAGTAGAGTGGCTTTTTAATACAATATGACTGGTGTCCTTTTAAGAAGAAGGGCAAAGACACAGAGAAGCACACAGGGTAATGCCAGGTGACCACCAGGCAGAGATTGGAGGGATGTGTCCAGAAGCCAAAGACAGCCAGCAACACTAGAAGCTAGGAAGAGGCAAGGAAGGTTTCTTCCCTAGAGCCATCACAGAAAGCATGACCTGCTGATACCGTGATTTCATACTTCTAGCCTCCACAACTTTGAGAGAATAAATTTCTGTTGTTTTAAGCTACCTAGTTTGTGGTAATTTTTTACAGAAGCTCTAGGAAACTAATAGAGGCCAGTCAGGGGGTTCAGTGGTAGAATTCTCACCTTCCATGAAGAAGACTCAGTCTGAATCCCAGCCAATGAACCTCATATGCAGCAACCACCTGTCTGTTCATGGAGGCTTGCATGTTGCTATGATGCTGAACACATTTCAGCAGAGCTTCCAGACTAAGATGGACTAGGAAGAAAGGCCTGGTGATCCACTTCCAAAATCAGCCAATGAAAACCCTACGAATCGCAAAGGTCAGATCTGCAAACCAATCACAGGGATGGCACAAGGACTCAGCAGCATTTTCCTCCGTTGTGCATGGCGTTGCAGTGAGTCAGGAGCTAAATTGATGGGAGCTAACAACAATACACTAATAAAATTATTAATTAATTAAACTGACCAATAATAATTCCAAGGTATAGTAAGTGCTCTGAAAGACCCAACTGAGGAGGTGCAACAGAGAATAACAAGAAGGGGTTGTTATTCTCTGAGTTTGGCGGAGGTGGGGGTACTCTTTGAGGAGGTGATATTTAAGCTGAGATCCAAAAGCAGAAAAGGAACATGACAGCAGATGAGTGGAAAGAAGTGGAAGGAACAGCAAGTGCAAACACCTGAGGTAAGCTGCCTGTGTCTGAGACATCCAAAGATGGTCAGAGTGCTGGGCGGAGTGAACAAAGACAGGAGTGTGTGAGCTGAGACTGGAGAAGACAAGCCGAGACTGGGCAGCGCAGAGGTAAGAGAAGATTTATGCTTTCAGAGATCACTCGAGTGACTGTTGCCTGATCCGGGTAAGAGGATGGTGGTCTGGAGTCAGAGAGAAAGGGCAGCTTCCCAATGTATACTGGGAGAGAGATGGACCGTTGATGGATTGTTATGCACGCTAACATGTCATTAGAGATTAAGAGAAAGGAAGAAATCACTTCTAGGTTTTTTGCTCAAGTAACTGAGAAGGCCCAAGGGCAGTGCCTGCGAAATAGGATCTGCTCAATACATGTTGATTTTC